TTTTGTAGTTTCTGATTCTTGTGTGAGACTCAGGCCTTCAAGTTTAGGTCTGCTTCTTTCTGTGAACTTTATATGTCTTTGTGGTTTACTTTTTCGGCATGAAAAGCTGGTTACTCTAAGCTTCCAGTTCTCTCTTTTGATTTTATATTGGAGTGGCAAGATTGCTTTTGTCTTCATGAGTTCCCACAGAGGCCCAAGTCAGATGAGGATCAGATGTTTTCAGGCTATCTCTTAAGGTCTGGATCCCTCCAGGAAAGATTTTTGGCCTCAGGAATTTGGGGGTTGGAGTGGCCTGGGAGCTTGACCCAGGAAAGATGCTGGTCTAGGGCAGCTGGTGGCCATGCCACCCAGATATGCAGAGGGAGATGGGGGTGGGAAAAGGCCCCAAGGGCTCTTGGGGACTGCACTGAGGAGCTCGGTTGTTCTGGATACAAAGGATCAGGAAGAGGAAAGGTCAGCCCCGGTGCCCAGGAAAGAGGCTGGCGGGTAGTGCAGGCCTAGGGAGGTAGAGGGAGGTGAGTGTGGGTCCAGGCCCAGAGTGCTCCTGGGGACCCAAGAAGTAACTGAGTTGGTCTGGATGCAAAGGGACAGGAAGCAGTGGTGATTCCCCAGGTGTCTGGGGTGCCAAGACAAGGAATAGGACAGGACCCAGGCTAGGAGGAGAGACCAGCAGGGTGATGGGAGGGTGAATGGGCCTGAGGGAGTCAACATCAGAGGGTGAGTTGGATTTACCATGGAGAGAGAGGCCTACGGGTCATGCAGGCCCAGGGAAGCCAGGTTTTTTTTGTTTTTGTTTTTGTTTTTAAAAGCATTAACCCTTATTTGAAGCTCTGTGTTATACTCTTTTAGGAATTTAATGTCTGTTTTTTTCTCTACAAAAGAAGTTTATGACTCAAGGATTTCCATTTTATGTTGAAAGGAGGAGGGGGAGCTGGCTCACAGTAGGAAGTCACAAAATGACATTGGTGAATGTGTGCAAAACTGATGAGTGTTAAACTGTAATTTTGTACTTGAATGCAGCTGCTACTTTTCTCCCCTACAATTCAGTGTAGAATGTGAAGTTTTCATAGTTTTATAATAAAATGTAATAATATATTACAGTATTCACTTGAATTGTATATAGGAAACCAGAAGTTGATGAATGTTTTTATTCATTTTATTCATAGATCTTACTGAAACAGTTTACCAGGTATTAATTAAGAGGTATAATTCAAATTGGGATATTTTAATCATGTTCAAATTATAAATATTTAATGTGAACATATATCAAATATCATATACTAGTATAGTATTAGGCAATGTGTCATTTTTATTATATGTACATAGTGGTATGTTAATAGTTAGATATTCTCTTATAAGGCACAAATATTCCCTAAGCAACCTCAGTATCTCTTTTCTTAATATCTCAAACTGTATTAAAAATAATTAGAAGAAAAATTGACTATTTTCTGAAAGTCTCCCAGGAAAAGGTGTCACTATGATGCTGTTTCAGGATTAACTGATACGTCATTTTTTCATGTTCAATGTTTCAGGAAGAACCCTATGTCCTATTTAAGAAATCTGATAAACCTCTCTATGGGAATGATCGATTTGAGGGCTACTGTATTGATCTCCTGAGAGAATTGTCTACAATCCTCGGCTTTACATACGAAATTAGGCTTGTGGAGGATGGGAAATATGGAGCCCAGGATGATGCGAATGGTCAATGGAACGGGATGGTTCGTGAACTAATTGATCATGTAAGTACCTTTTCTCGCTGCTTACTGCTTTTGGTTTATTTTTACATGTTTTCTATTATTTAATTCAAAGTAGGTCAATCAATGTAAAAAATTGAGAATTTCATATATGCCTTCTACTTTAAATTAGCTTGCACTAGATAGTTTAATACCTTTATATATGACTTTAATTTTTAAATGATGGTGTGATTTCCCAACAGTGACTTCTTTATTTCCATAATGCTAACTTCTTAATCAGGAGGAATAAGTAATGCAAATTTTAAATTCTTACACTAACCTAGAATTCTTAGAAATAAGACCATTATGTCTATATGAAAAAGAAAAATAGAATGATATTGTGATATTTGAGTTTATTTTTAAGAGTTACATATTAGAAAATATTGGGTATATAATTATTAGTAAGATAAGGATTCTACAAAATAATAAAAATAATTTTCCTTAAACAATCATTGTAAAGCCAGGCCTGGTGGTACAGGGATGTAATACCAACTGCATGAAAGGATGAGAGACACGGAACACAAATTCAAGTCTAGCTTGGGTGACTTAGTGAGATACTGTCTCAAAATACAAAGTAAAAAGAAGACTTGGAATATAGTGTCATGTTAGAAAGTTTGCCTACCATGTTTAAGGCCCTATGTTCAATTTCCAATACTGCAAAAACAAGCAAAAAGAAACAATTACAAGAAAAATATTAGTGCTTCCGCCTAAATAAAAGACTACAGGATGTTAGGAGTGAAAAGTGATGGATGAGAAGAGAGCAGAGAAGGTACGGGAAGAGCAGGAAGGGAAGGACTTAGAAAACCGTATTCATATATGAAATTCTCAAACAATGCAAAGTTCTTTCCATGAAAGTGGAAAATACAGACAACTTACATATTACTTTTTATATCGAATTTTATATTAAATTTTATTTTATTATTGGCAATTTCCTAGATGTATATAATGATTTTTAGTCATTTTCACCTGCCTATTCTCCTCTCTCGTTTACTCCCTCTCCTTTTGAAACCATTGTTCCCAACAAATGCCCTTTCTTCTTATCTTCTTTTAGTGTTTAAGCCATTGAGTTTATTAAGAGTTTCTTAGATGAGCGTCTGATTTTATAAGCTACTTCTTAGAAGTTCTGTATAAAAAGGGCATTTATTTTATCTCTTTTGAAAAAATGTGTTTATTGTTTTTATTTTATGTATATGAGTGTATTACCTACATGTTTGCTAAGTGCACCTGTGTAGTACAAAGCCTGGGGGAGGTCAGAAGATGGTGTTGGATTCCCCTGGAATTGGAGTTATGGATGGTTGTTAGCCACATGTGGGTGCTGTAAATCGAACACAGGTCCTCTGCAAGAGCAGCCAGTGTTCTTAGCTTCTAAGTCATCTCTCCAGCCCCTAAACATGGCATTTTATTTCCTTTACAAAGTATTTTGGAACGTGATAAAATATTAGATAATTTTATAAAATTTTTGTATTTTTATTGAATTTTTGTGCATATCGTACAGAACATCTTAATCATCTTATACCGTCTTCCCTATCAGTGCTCTCCCATACCCACCTAACTGGATTTCATGCATTCTGTCATTTATGTTAGGGCCTATCAAGTCCGTTAGTATCCCCAGGTGTCTGTCAGTGCAAGTTCATTCGCAAGGTCTAGTCGGTCTATCTAGAGTCACTCTCTTGAAGAAGATAAACTCTTCCTTACCCAGCAGTTGCCCAATAGTTCTTCGGCTAAGATTGGGGCCTATTTCCACAGTTCTATCCTGGGTTTTTGTCTGCTTGACTTTGCATGGGTCTTGTGCATGCTGACACATTGCTGTAAGTTCATATGAGCAAGATCCCAGGAGCCTGTAATACTCTATTTCCATATGGTCATGCACTTCCTCCCCTGCCTGACTACAATCTGTCTGCCCCCTCTTCTGAAACAGTCCTTGAGCCTGGGGTGGGTGAAGTTTAAAAGAGGAGTTCTGTCCAAGAACGTAAACTCTGCAGAGTCTTTTTTTTTTTTTTGGCTATTTCTGGACTTTGTTTCCATTGCATTCTGTTGCATGAGGGAGCTTCATTAATGAGCATTGAGAAATGCATTAGTATTCTCTACTCTTTGTTCTATGTTCTGTGAGCCTTAGTTGTAGAGGTTCCATTGTAGATATGTCACTTAAAGTTGGGCATCTCTCCCTGTGACTGGTCTGTGGAGCTCTGTAGTGGTCTCCATCTATTGTAAAAGCTGCTTCTTTGATGAGTGGTGACTGGAATGCTTGTCTGTAAATATAAAGATCCATATTTAACACATAGTAAGAAACTACATTTGCCTAGGTGTGTGAAAGCCTTGGGGTTTTCTCTAAGTTCTAAGACCTCTCCAGCCATGTGTATTTGGCTATGTTTACAGTAATACATATGAATTTCCTCCCACTGAGCAAGCTTTAAATCGAATTAAGTAGCTTTATCCCCAAGGTAAAAGTGCCACTACTGCAACAATGCTATTTGAAGTGCCGGTCATTGTTATGGCTATTGGGCCTTGAAGTTGGGGTTGTACCACCAATTGATGTTCTTCCATAACAACTTTCATAGTGTTCTTCAAAAGTATGACAGCTAGTCTTCAAGGGAAGTGGTTGCCGGGTCAGTTCTAGCACCATTGTTTCAAATCCAGTGTCCCAAGTCTGTCCTATCTTCAGCAAGAGGGAAAACCTTCAAGTTCTAGGAGGCAATCAAGGGTTATGTAGTTTGGAGAGTCTCTTGGACTATCCAACAACTTGAAGGAAGGTTTCTCCTGTCTGGTACTGTTGCTTGTTATATAGCCTTTTGTTATACACATGAGCTCATGTGGAGCTATCGTATGTGTAATTTTTAATAGGTTTTTGAACTAATACATTTCCCCCTGGTTTTTTAAACCACCTAGTCATTTTTATCTTTCCTCTTTCTCCCTGTCTTGCCATCCCCCCCACCCTCCCTAGTTAAAGTACATTCATTTTCTCCATTTTGTCCTTGATGACACCTGTCTCATATGGTTCTTCCCTCTTGAGCTCCTTCTTCCCCTTTATCCCCATAGTTCTTTATATAATCCTTCTTCTTCCCCTCTGCAGTTTCTTGTTCTCTGCACATTGACCAGTTGTGGCTTTCTGTGTTTATCACCATCTGTAGCATAAGAAAGATTCTCTGGTGAGAGTTGAGAGATGCAATAATCTATGAGTATAACAATAAGTCATCAGTAGTCAGTTTAATATCATAACAATTTAGTAGAAAGCTGGCATTAGGCTCTCCCTATGCCTTGTGACCAGTCTAGCCTTAGGTTTCTATTCCTGATATCGATATCATGCATAGGATTCATCTTAAATCCAATTCGAGAGTGGTTGTTTACTCCCATAAAATTCATGCCTTTATTGCACTGGTGGACATATCTTGTCAGGCCAGTTGTTTTTGTAGTTCACAGGATTCACAGATGGGTAAGGTTGATGATATTTTTTTCCTTTCTCTGGCATGCACAATCCTTTCAGCATGATGAATGCTAGCCAGTAAAGATGAGGTTCTGAAGTCAGCACCATCTTAATTTTTCCTGTTTTTTCTATGGCTCATGGATGTAGTGTCTTCAGTAATAGGGTCTTACCATTAAGTTCTGGTGGGGAACAAAGAGCAGGGGCAATGGCCATGATGGTTTGAAAATATGACACCCCTGGTCAACAACTTTGATAGAGGAAGCCCATTCCTGGCATTAGGTTTTATTTTGTTAGCCTATGATGTCTAGAAGGAGCAATATAACCCTTTTAGAAAGTATTTCCTTTTAATCTTTTTGTATTATGTTAAAAGGCATGTCAAACATTGCATGGGGAAGGAAAGAGGAAGTTTGTATGAGAATACCTTTAAACAGATTATAGAAGAGAAGATGTTGCTTTTTATGACGCCCACTGACACAGAACAATGTAGACAACTTCAAACAGATGCTGTCAACCTAAGCCTACATGTTGCTTACACCATTTATTGCAGGCTCACTGCTTTCAATGTTGCTGCTTTCAGTATGATATGAGCACACACACACACACACACACACATACACGAATGATATTCTGGACCCAGGCAAGGAAAGAATATATGAGAAAAAAAAATTTTAATTCCCATAATTAAAAATTAAAGGTATGTGTTTAGCTTAGCCTGTAATAGTTGATTATATGGGAAGTCTAAGGTCTTCCAAAATTGTTTGTTCTTTTTTCTTAAACGGTACTTAAATTTAAACAACTGAATACATAATAGGAAAACAAATTAAAGACAATTGTTTAATCATCTAAGCTAATCTGGTTATACAAATGTTAAATTTTTAATAGGAGGCAATCTCAGAAAAGTTACTGGGTGTGATTCAACCCATGGTATCAAAATTTGTGTCTGATATTTCATCAGTTTGATCTCTTAATATCCCACCAGCAGTCCTAGATTTTCCAGGCAAGGATAGTGCAGTTTTATCCTAATAATTTCTTAAAATATCTCAAATTGTGCTCATTGTTTCACAACTAAATTTATCAACTAAATCTTGAAAAAATTATATTCACTGCAAAACTGTGAATACACAGTTCATGTGAGACTTCATTTAGTCACAACACAGGGATTTTAGATCACAAATGTCTTTACGAATATATTTGTTTACATGTATACTTGATTAATGCTTTTTTAACTGGGTTTTCTGGATTCAATTCTGAAAAATTTTTAGTCTATAATTTTTTCTTTTTTGGATTATTTGTTTATGTTTCTTCAAGGAATTAAAGAGTACAAAATGATGACTAGGAAATATTGTGCTTTAGACTGTGGGAAAGGGCATAATAATGAAGGACTCAAAACTTCCTATTGCTCAAGGGTAGGGATTTTGCCTAGCATGCAGAAGGTTGTAGGTTTGACTCTCAGCATTACGTACACACCAAAAGGAGGAATAAGTGATGATTACCATTTCATGTTTATTTAAGAAGATAATTTGTGATATTGGGACTACTGATACCTATTCAAGTATTTATGCATTTATTCTCTCTGCTGTTCCTG